CCCCATAGCGACCCCTAGAGGACGCAGTTCGAAGTTCCCGTGAAAGGGAACTGACTTGTGTGCTGCTGGAGTATTTAACCTTATATACATGGCAACGCAGATATAAATACAATATATTATAATGTACAAAAGGCTGTAAATAAAATGTACATGATTTTATTTTGTATTTTCACAGAATAAATATGGATGTATTAGTGTTGGTATCTGTGTAGTTATTTGATGATTTTGTTATTTTACAGATGGTATCTTTACATACCTGGAGTCTTGAGAAGTCTTGATGCAAGTAATAAGAGGTACAAAGTGGCACCAAAACGCACAAGGACTCTGAAACTACAACTAAATAAATACAAAAAAAAAAAAAAAAAAAAAAAATTAAATTCAATTAAAAAATTAAATATACAATAAAAATTAAGTGCTCAATTAAAAAAATATTTGATGTAATAAACAAAATTACAAATAATTTTAAAATAAGAATAATAAAAATAATTAACAAATAAAAATAAACAAAAGAAATTAAATAAAAAAATTGAAAAAAGTTTTTTTTTTTTTTTTTAAATCTAATGCTTTCGTAAAAAAAGTTTGCCAATGAAATAAAACTCCTGTACAAAGTCAGAGTTACAGATATTTTGAAATTAGCTGGATGAAGTACCTATTAGTAGATTTTGAGCTACATGAAATAAAAATATAATACTATATGGTGGGGAAATGTTTAACTGTCATCAAAATATTAAAATGTCTATTTTTCATATAATATAGGCCTATATTCTGTTATAGATAGATAGATAGATAAATAGATAGATAGACAGACAGACATATTCTTGACAAGTTTTAAAACAGGTGACTATTTTTCTTGATATCTGGTTTGATGCCAAACAACTCTATTCAAATAAAATAATAAAAATAAGTAAAATAAAATAAAAACTTTTCAGTCAAGAACCTCGATGTACACACTCCATTAGCAGAGTTCATGTGAGAGCGTCACACCAGACATGAGTCAATGTCACAAACAGCATCCTGCGTCTCACCCAAACTCCTGCATCAGCACCACGGCAATCAGCGTCTCCATGACGACAGGATGCTCTCCGTCCATCAGCAACAGTCCAGATAAACAGATCCTTCAGCAAAAACAAGCTGCTCATTACCCAGTGTCCGGCTTGATTAAGTGGCCTGCACCTCCTGTCGATACAGCCGTCATCAGTCTGAGATCTTAACAGCTGCTTCACTGAAACCAGTGACCTCTGGGCTCCACATCAGCCAATCTGACAGGAACAGACAAACCTCTACTCTCCTGATAAGAGAACCATGGTTTGTGTCCTTCTTCATTCAGTGGATCTGACAGAGCTCTGATAATGCAGGAAACACTAATGAAGTGCAGCAGAAAATAAAGCCATCAGGATCCATCTCAACTACATACATGACTGATGCAGCTACAGGACACTGCTACTGCTCAGAGGTTTCTCTTCATATCTCAGGAGATTTACATTGAATATTAAATAAGAAATTATCAACTTTGTTTCAGCTGTTTCCTCTTAAAGGGACAGTTCCCCCAAAAATTAAATGCTGCAGATGCTGATATTTCTATGATGAAATTCTGATGCTTGTTATGAAAATCAATGAGTTCTTTATAACAGTACAGCAGATACTGACATTAAATGATATAAATATCAGTCGTCACTCTATATCTCCAATAATGTCTTAGTAAGATGAGAATGAAATTATCTAAACATATAATGCAATGCAATCCAATGATGACAGAGAGGGAAAAAATAAATGCTCCTCAAAAGATGTGAGATGTTTTGGAGGCTTGGCTACGATGTGTGTGTAGACTGTACGATGATGACACCTATTGACTCGTACGATACGATGCACGTTTCTATAGAAGAATAAAACATCATCAACATGCGCTAGTGGTAAACAAAAAGAGCATCATGAATCACATTTTGGCAGCTGTAGTTTTATGTGTGCTGAGAACAAGTGGAAGCAGCGAAAGAGGAAGGGATAAGAGCTAGA